CTAGTTTCGGAGAATTCCACTTCTCATCAGTGACCCTGGACACTACCACCAATGAAATACCAGACCAAACCAAGCCTTTATAGTAGTGAGGTATTTATCTAGTAGGCATATTTGTATTTTCTATCAAGGTTACTAAATTTCACAAAGTCAGGCATGGCCTAGAGGTTAGCGTTCCGGGCTGCATATGCTTGTGGCGGTGGTTGATTCTGTGTAATTGATTTTTCACTGATCAGTAGTTTCGTTTATGTGTCGCATAAGATGTCGTTCAGGTTGAAAGTAGCAAATACTAATATTCACGAAAAATGTTTCAACTTGATATTACATTTTACTTAAATCTTTTTACTCTGTACCAGGACATGGACGTTGATGAAATTTTTTGCGGATCAGGCTGGAACCGTTATATTAAAATAACTAACAGTTTAAACGGAGATTTTCGAGGACACGTGCCTTATCACGTGACCAGCATAACCGTGATGACACAAGGTAGAAAAATTGTTACCTGGCTAGGTACAGAAGATGGAAATTTGCTTAAGGTAAAACCTTTTGTATTACTGTCATAAATGTTAACTTGCCTTCAACTTTTATATAATGAGTTAGAAGTAAGATTGCAGCTTTGTATGTGTTTGGAAGGAATCTCAATATTTTATGTAATCGCTTACTATTGCAAGTATGAACAAGGTTATCATTTCGAAGGGCAGATATACTAACGTCAAAAAGATGGTCATGCACATTTAAGTCAATTTCAGACCGACTTTATACTGGCAAATATAAGACTCTTACGAATCTTTTGTACTTATGTTAACGTTGTTAAATACACATGATTCTACCAGAAAAAGTCTTTACATAAAGCATAATACTAAATACTAGATGTCTTACAAGTCACAGTAATACTTGTGTTTTTACTCTACTGGATAGTCATCTAGCGGCGGATATAACCCTAGAGAGCGTTATCCTTTAATAACCTCTACACTTTCTCTCACATACAAATAGAAGTTTCATAAAGAGTTTAAGTCTTATTTGTTAAATGTTTCTGACGTAGAAGATAACTTTGTAGAAGATAACATTTCCTACAGTTTACTTATCATTCTAGAATAAAAAAAATGCTATGATGTTCAAAGCATAATATCACTTTGAAACACGTGTATTGGTTTTTCCATTTGTAGAATAAAAAAGAAATCGTTAATACAAAGACCATGGTATTTTTACAGCATGTTGATTTAACATTAAAACTAACTGAGCACATATGTTTTTACTGATCTTCATGTTTTCCCCTGATTTCGAAAACCAACGCTGCATTATTATTAAGCTCACTGCTTGACTGTTCTTGAAGGATAAGCTAGGGTTATACCTGGTAATACTAAATTAATACAAGCTTGCTTGAAAATGTTTTCAGCTCTAATGCCCTTAGCCGTTCTCTTTTCTTTAATACTTTTATTGCAAGATTGGATCATTATTTGCTACTATGATAAAATGTATGGAATTCACCTTTACTGTTTTGGAAGTTTCATTCAAAAAAGTTATTTATCCTTATTTAGTTTTGCTGTAAATAAACATGTAAGGAGAATAAAATATGCGAAATGATGAATTTTAATTTATTTAATACTCTTGAAACTTTGTTCTGAAATCAATAAATATGTGTTGTATTTTCTCACTAGCAAATAAATTAAGACAAACAGTATCACTTTTTAAAACCAGAGCTATGTTTTTATTGAGACTAATAATGTTATATGTTTTAAAATTTTAAACTATGCATTTATTTTTATGAATAAACAGTTAAAGCCCGTATGTTTTAAGAAATTATTTTTAAACATGATAAATAGACTCTACATACCGATCTTGTCATGGAATATGTAAGCTTGGTTTTATGAAACTGTTTGAAACCATCGTTAATTACTAGCCAAGTATTCGATATTAATAGTGTATTTTAACTAGAAGAACAAATATCTCGATTTATGTTTTGAATATATCTTATTTTATGAAAAAAACATTTTAGTCCTACCTGACCATACTTGAGAATATTAGATGCTAATATTAAAGGCTTTCGTAGATTAAAAATTGTTATTTATTGTTTAGAACGACCTATCATTAAATGTTGTTTATGTTTAAATACAACTATAGCTGTCATTGTTGTTCTTATAAAGCTGCTTTCCTGCACATGGAACTTAAATATTAATATACACACCGAAAAGAAAAGAAAAAAAACTAGACAGACACCCGGGAAGTCCTAATGTATTCCTAAGAATTGATTTTTCGTGTGGTGAGGTAGCTAAAAATTCATTTTAATTTCATCATTTGACTGTTGCTCATCAAATTATAAACACTTACACAGGTACATCATAGTTTTATATGTACATTAATTAGGAATTCTTTGGTCTATTTGTGACAGAATGGAAATAAACAAGCGTGGGAAATCTAAACAATAAGTCGCTTTTTCCAGAAACTGAAGAAATAACAGAGAATTAAATCAAATTCAATGACCAGAAAGAGAAAAACGTTTATAGCTTCAATTTGTGTCAAAATTATGTTTGAATTTCACGTCGACATATCTTGAGTTGTGTCCAAAAAGGATCGGAGGTTGAAAATGTGAACAAAATATTTTAATTGTGTTGTCTGTTCTCATCATTGTTTATATATTTATTTTTTAATGCAAAGATAATGGGCCATCTTGTTCATGTCGTTTTATGAACATAGGGTGTAATCTGTTACCTTTTTGAAAATTTTCTTCGTATTATAGATCGTAAAGTAGATCATTTACTTTTTTTATGTTTGTACCTAATTCTCTTACACGATGTTAAAGATTGTTGACAGTAACAAATTATATCTCATCTTGTGTTTCAATCCCTTGACTTTTCTTTTATCTTTCGGAAAAATTTCCCCTGAGAAGGAATAATTGCAGTTAAAAAAGAATCTTTCGTTTGAACCCTTGATTATTTGGAAATGTAGATTATGGAATTATTATCTCTGGCTTTTCGTTTCTCTTGATAAAGTTTTTATGTGGTAGATATTTGGATGTTGATGTATAGCTTTCCCGTCGGTAAAAAACCTCAAATTTAGCTAATTCACCTCTGGGAAAAGGTATAACTTCCAAAAGTACTCAGGCTGTCAGGTTTCTTGAATTGTGATTTATCAACAAGTTAAATTCTTCGTGCTTTCTAAGTATCAAGAGCGTTTAACTATAAATGACGACAGAAATGGATCCATGTCGATATTTTTAGGCGGATGTAACTAGACTACGGTTGAGTGACTGACTAAACAGGAAAGATATGATAAAACCATCGGTACGCTTACTGACTATCGATAACAACCTATTGTGTTAAAGGAATACATAAACGGAAGGGAGACATTCGATGGTTGATGCAATTGAATATATGGAACATTCGTCTCATAAACACCTTTCCTGGTCTATTAATCGCAGGCATGTTTGTGGTTTGTAATTACTCAGAATAACATCGTAAACAACGGGTCTTTAATACAGCTATAAATACATGTGAAACAAGAAATAGATTGGTCATGGGATTAATAAAGAATGGCTTAGAATGCCTGTTTTGTTGCATTTCATGCGACCAACTACACCATCTTCTATCTGCCAAGTGTTAAAAAATTACAATTAAAACAATTTCCTTTAGTTAATATGATATTTATTGAGTTGTTTACGTAATTGGTATAGTTAGTATCTACTCCAAAGGGCCCTATGGATTACATTGTCATCTTAAAATACCAAATTTTTCATGAAATTTTAAAATAATGTTCAAAGCCATAATTCTTGATACATTTCTCAGGCACAAGCTTTCGTTTATAACGTATAAGCAAACTCGTTATTTAGATAAACGTTCACTCCACCTAATACTCCATTAGAATTATGTTTTAATGTTTCGCAAACATTAGTAATCATGTTTTCTGTGTAATTTTCCTTTACAACATAACTAAAATTAGCCACCCTTAATTTTCAACGTTTGTTTTTTAGCTTAGCACAAAGTTACACAATGGGCTATTTGTGCTCTGCTCACCAAGGGTATCGAAACCCGGTTTCTAGCGTTGTAAGTCTGCAGGCATACTGCTGTGGCACTGAGGGGCTAACTTTCAAAGAAATGACTAGAAGACTATACGTCGATTATAATTTTTTTTATTCTCAGTAATTCAAAAACAGGGTCAAAAAGCTAGGAAAAATTAAAACAAAAACTATAAAACAAAATATGAAAAAGTAAGGGAAAGTTGTGTTCTCTTTTTTATTATTTGGAATCTGCATGTTTAGCTATGTCAATTATTGTTATTCGTACGGGGACGACATAGGATCCCCCAAGGGGTAACACAGAGAGGCAAGATCCGAAATCTGACCTCCCTGTGTGACTTCCCAGTGGGCTCTAAGGGTACGTGCAAGGTTTGGTGATAATGCTAGGTATAAGTGAACACACAAAGACTGTTGTCAAATAATGGTTTAAATTTCATCATTGTTTTGGTAAGTCACCGTATGTTATTTCATCTGGTGATAATTATCCAGTTCATTTTATTTGATGATAGATTAGATCCAATATTCTTTATAAATAAAAAATATACCTAAAATTATATCTTAAATTTTGACAAAGAATATATGGACGATACAGCTATATATACATCACCTCTACATGTCTTTCAATATTAAACTTTAATGTTACACTGTAAAATGCACAAGTATAAAATGGTTACGTGGTCGGTCAATTCAACCGACCACATAGCGAGAGCCTGTAATAATCAAGACATGTTTTGACTCCTCTTGGTTTTCCTTGTACGTACGTTCTAGGATCTTGAAGATATTATGATAAACAAACTGCATATTAACAGTGAGGAATTTATAACATCTAACTGCAGTAATGTTAAAGTCAAGTATGCATTTTACAGTGTAACATTAAATTTTAATATTGAAAGTCATAGAGGGATGATTTATGTATAGCTGTATTTTCCTTATATTTTTGTTTGCATTCTTTGTGGCACTGCCATGCCTACATCATTTTACATTTACAAAATATTTTTATTGCTTTGTTTTGTGACGTTTTTTCCCATTACTGAAAGCACGTGTATTATATTAACGTGTGTAATAAAATTTATATAATGTGTATTGATTTTTTCTACTCCTTCACTTCATGCATAATATAGGGGTTGACTCCCTAAAGACAATGATTGTGTAGTGTACAAAGTATTGAGCATCCTACATGTTACACTCATCTAATTTATTTTCACCTTTTTGTGGCTGGCAATTCCTGTTTCACCATGTACTTAAGCTTTTTAAAGGAACACCATATTTCTGTAAAAGAAAAACAAGTTTCAGGGGTAATGATAACATCCTTTACACTAGAATTATGATTACAAAAATTACTACATGCTATTACGACTAAGCAATGACACCATACACTGCTCAGAAACACATAGAGTGGATTTAGGTTTAAACTGACGTTAGTGATAAAGTAGTTGTAGAATTATTTCGACTGAAATATGAAGGAGAAAGAACAGTTTGGTTGGTTGGTTACTTTCTGGTTTGATATCTTGTTCTCTTGCGTTGTTTTTAGGGCTTGTTGGGTAGAGAAACAAATGAAAGTAGGTGGTAATCATCTTTTAAAGTAAAACTTTCTGTCTTTGTTGATTTTTTAGCGTACATATTTGTATCATGACTATTGAGTACCTTGGCTATCCCTACACATATAGTCTACCGTCCCTATGATAAACCAAGTAATTTAATATTAGCTTACAGACCAGTAATTAACACAGCTTACTCTACAGGACAGTAGTTTTATTTAAAACTTATATAACAATATATACGAATGGCGTCATCAATTCTATATAATTTTAAGATTGTTCATTTATTTTTAGGTGTGTATATGGTCAAACCTAAAATTAAATATGCTATTTTGAAAGCCGTTATTGTATTTAAACTATTGATAATTTATATGCAATACAATTTAGGGTTTGTTTATTTTAAAACAAAGTAAACACGGGTAATTAAAACCTGGATTTTAGCGTTGAAACTCCGTAAACGTAGCGATGTTCCACAGGAGGATAGCACTTGGGGATTTAAAGACACACACACATATATATTATTTTCTTTTTTTCAGCTTGTGTATAATTCTGAAAAAACAAACGAAGTTTTATTGAAGGTGAACATTGCTGCTCCTAACTCTACTGATCGTTCAATACGACCATCAACTGCCTTTGACCCATCAGGAAACAATCTCTATGTTATAAGCGGAAACCAGGTGTGTGTATCACGTGTAACTGTCCAGTTGAAAATAGCGTCGTGATTATTGTTTCTTCTTTTATACACTACTGATCTGAATTGTGACATGAGTTGATTTTTTATATTGATATTTTTTTGTCTAATAAAAAGCTTCATTATGTGAAAAAAAAAAGACTTTTTGGATCTAGAACAGCGATTCTCAAAGTTTAGTAACCTGATGACCTTTTAATCTAGTAACCTTTTAATTTATTTTTTTTATTCGCGGACCCCCAAACCTATTAGTGTTTTTCTTTTGAAAAAAAAATCGTGTACATTAAAAGCTGTATTCAAAAATTAAATGTTTTGTTCATACAAATTTAATTTTATGAATTTTTTTTTATTCTATGCATCATATTTGTAAAAAATATTTGTATGAAATTTGAGACATGACTCGCGGTTCAAACAAACATTTATGGTAAAATAAAAAAAAGACTTGCTACGTTACTAAATAGAACAACAAATATTGTGCTTTCATATCAAAATGTAAAGATTCTAAATTCCTTGAAGCTAAGATTTCGAGAAAAAAATTATTTGTACTATTTATTTGAAAACCTTTGTATTCAAGTATTCTTAGTTCATCGAATACTTGACATTTCTTGTATTTAGAGAAAGTGTTTTATTTTCAGTGCTTAATTTCTTAGTACCGTGAAGAAAAGAAAATTGTGTTGGTATATTTTACGTTCAGAGATGAAATGCACACAAATATTAAAATAGCTAGTTACCAAATTCGAAATTATTAAGAATTTTAATTAAAATCATTTTGTTTTCTAGTTTTACTGGTACTAAAATATCGTATTTTTGTTTGCAGATAGTGAAAATTCCTGTTAGTTCCTGTATGTTTTATGAGGACTGCCATTCGTGTCTCACAAAACAAGACCCGTTGAAATGTGGTTGGTGTGGAACACACTGTTCTGTTAGAGAAGAATGTGATGATAACTTTTCAGCGACGACTTGCACACCATTAATTGACAAGGTGAACACATAGTTTGCTGATTGACACGAGTAATCCTATAGTATATTTTGTTTTTGTTTTTGAATTTCGCGCAAAGCTACACTAGGGCT